TCGAATGACTTTTTCAACTAAAAGCCGCAATACTGATATTAAGTGTGATTTACCTGTAAACTGAGGGACTCTAGTGTAACACAGCACCATATCCCAGCAGGGTATTCTTTGTGTTTTACAGGTACAAGTAGAATTCATGGACTGAGCATTTGTCAAATATGGAGGCGACCCACTGAGTCACTTAGACGAAGGGCTGAGGAAATGCGATACCTTATACACGCACCTTCAGATGTAGGCATGTGTCACTTCACATGAACTCTGAGCCATATCGAGTAGGCATTCCTTTAAATCTACCCTACCTTGTACGCTGAATTATTGTTCGTATATACGTGATGACTTGGTGCGTTTCCTGGTTTGCCTATAATTACGGAATGTACATTATATTAGGGAACACAAATGGATTTTGTGAAAACCAGTGGTGTTCCTTTTCTAGTCTTAACTGATGTCACATTGATTGACACGATTAAAGGAATAGATTGTAACATGGTGTTTTCTGTAGCTGCGAAACATAGATACCTAGTTTCGAATTGACATCATGCGTCTAATCCTGTTAACCTACGGGCATAGTTTATCCTTCACGATACCTAGAAGTCAAGAGCAGACTGTCTTGGACAGACCTAGTTTTACTTTGTGACTAATTGGTGAGTCACCTGGTGTTGTGGTAGTAGAAAAAACAACTCCAAACCTTAGTATTTTCTAGATATGAACATATTTACTTACTTTGGCGACAATTTCATATTAGGGATATTAACCTTTACTTAGTAATTTGGATCCGAAAGTAAACGCCATATTACTAAGTTATTCAAAAGACAGAATGATGAGTGAAATAGTACTCGGATACTTATTCTAACGAAACCGAATAATGATAATCGTTTAGCCTACCAATATGCCGCTTACTTTCAGTCTTAATTTAAAGACAAATTTAGTTGCTCACTAAATTAATAGTTTCAGAAGACTGCTCTACTCCTGTCTTCGAAATACTTTGCCCGATCGTGTTTTACTTCAAAATATTTGTATACTGGCCAGTTGATGTTGCTTATCCAGTTACACTGTTTTTCAGCTAATGTCCCACCTATTTCCTATCAAACGAAATATCCCTCAAACCATCAACGAGTAGCCATCGTTTTTAAATAAATAACCTTAACTATTCGCATGTAAACAATGCTAATGACTTTATCACTTACGTGATGTTTCAACTTTCGATTAATCAGTTTTCCCATTCACGAGCACCTGTTTCAATTTTAACGGATAGTTCTAGCCTTTGACTACTGAATTAATACGTTTCGTTATATACCATCCTTACGAATTATAGGTACTAATAATAATCACTGCTAACAGATTTATCACGAGAACGAGAATGCACTCCATACTGACGACAATATACCTCAGAGGCGGTAGCATCTTCTAAACGCACTATTCAATACAACACATGACCCTAACTCTGTAGCTCACAACATTCTATAAAGTTAGTAGTGACTATTAACAAGTAGAATGTCTATTTGAGGTATAGAGAATACATTTATTAGTGATTCGACACAAAATACAAAATCAACGGTACTGGAAACCACTTTCTTCAGCAACGAATCCAACGAGGTCACTGGAACTACAGATTACCTAAAAAAGAAAAGGGTGCACAGAATGTATACATGAATATAACTGCCAATATAATATTAACGAGATACCAAAGTAAGAATTAATGAAAGTTTATATCAATATGCGATTACATCAATTACTATTTTTGACACAAGTGGATATTTAGACGAAGTAATAAAACGTAATTTGTCTGAGTCGTGCATTGTTGTATTTGTGCAACACAATTTGGACAATCTGGTCACGCATGGACTTGTCATAGGAATACATATGAAATTAATACAGTTAAGAGGTCAGAAAATAAATTCACGTCGAATTAAGATCACATATCGAAGGTCAAAATAACAATGAACATCACTAAACCAAATAACAGGTATTAGTACATCTACCCTGACTGGTATCCAAACCAAGTTTAACAAAGAAGGTTTCGTGTGATGACAAATAGTTTTGGAACTCACAAAAGTGGTTTAAACTTCCGAATCACACTTCGGATTCCACAAACTTTAGGACCCAATCCAAACACGTTTTACAGATAGGTTTAAAAAAATGTGCAAACGTCAATTTTATGTTCTGTCCATATAATATGTTTCGAAATAGAGGAGCTGGGACCCCAATAATGGCTTCTGAAGATTCTGTTGCTTCTAGAGGCATTTAGATATATGATGCGTAGCCCTTACTTGCAGAAATCGATGAGTTCCCCCTAAATGGATACAGCAACCGCTTCTAAACCTTACGTCCATAGCTTTAAGAGATGTCGGACACTACTTCTACGTGGTTTCAAATTAATTTTGTGAATTAACTTTGAACAAACGCATATAATTTGGCGTCAGGGCAATAACAAAAATCGGAAGTTTATGAAACCAAACTCAATAATAGAACAAAATGACGCACACCACAGATGTCTTTACGTACCTGATCACGAGGATGGTATTGAAATCCACCAAATTACTCAAATGTTGCAGTGTGCATTTAAATCATTTAAAAATTTTGGCAGAAAACAATGAATGTTGTAGGTTATCGCAAAACATATCGCAGTTTCTGCCCATTCGTGAACACTAATTTTCCCTTGTATCTATGCATCCCATTGACTTTCAGCTATCAAAACACCACACAAAAGTGCGGAAGGATGCACGAATTCGATATCAATCATATTTCGGTTCCTGCAACAGTAATAGGTACTGCACAACAGCTGATAGGGAAATTCGAGATCGAGTACAGGTTTCCGCCAAGCTGCAAAGAAATTTATCGAATGACAGTCGTCGAAATGTACGCGAAGCTTACTCGGTATGCCAAATAATCATTGCATGAACCATGTATTTAAGCGTCCTGTCACACAAGCAATCAGTAAATGCTCAAGAACGATATCGAACAACAATTTTCATATAAATTCATCCAAAAAGAGCAAAATAAGCATCGAAATCGCGTCTACTGCGTTTGCTGGACGGCTAGCTACAACTCGAATCAACGAAACCGCGCAAATGCTGTCAAGGTTAAGCCAGAGGCGCCACTTCAAATAGGGGATATGCTTTATCAACGCCCCTCTATTCTAGGGGTGAGATTCAGTATAGTGGCAAACTTGCTCATAGATTGATTGACACTATCTTTTACTAGTTTCAGGATATCATAAAATTTTGGCTCGATACCCTCATCCTCCATATGGGAGCTTATCTTCACCCACTTCCTTTGCAGTCGAGTAGGTAGGCGTCTTGCTATTACTTCTAGTATAAAACTCGAGTTGAGGTCACTCATGCAATTTACAGAAATCAAGGTATTCTTATAAGTCATAAGATTATCTAAAATCTCAGTAAGTGCCTTGGAGTCATCTTGAAGTTGACTGCCGTTACCTTTGACAGCTTCGTATACGTTCCTTACAATCATTGAAGGTCTTCCAAACCTTTGACGATATATGCTCATAGCCTCATCGCAACCCTCTTTTGGCTTCATAAACTTACAGCACTGTATAGCTCTTGCAGCATCTCCAGTGCAATATCTCATCAAATACATTAACTTCATTTCATCAGTTAATAAAAAACCACTCAGCATGATCTCAAACTCCTTTACAAATTGTAAATAATCAGCAGGGTTTCCATCAAAACATCGTGGTTCAAATTTAGGGAGTTTGATGTTCCTATTATCCCTGAACGGCGAAACAGTAACATCAACCATGTCATGCTTAACATCAGACACATCGTTACAAGTAACAGACAAGTCACCATGACTTACTTTCCTGTTTGCATTCAAGACGCTGTGTCCCTTCTTTGACCCAGGCATTGTTGAACTTGACCCAATTCCAAAAACGTTCCAGATATTGCTTGTTCAAGGAGGACTTGACCGGCACCAGGAAAGATGAACGGTGACTATCCAAACTGTCACCGACTGTCTGAATCCGCCAGAATCTGTTTCCACCGTCAGAAACTGTTAGTCACGTCTCGTGAACCGTCAATGCCCAGCTCTTGCTACGCTGGGACTCACGCTGTTCCTTGAAGTTTCTCAGAAACGCTTAGTAATAACGGACGCGAAAACCAAAACACCGATTGGTCACTCGAGAATTCTTTATTGTGACACCAACATATAAAAAATGTTATCATTAAGGTTTCTGACGGATTTTTAATCTTCTTTCTGAACAGTGACCGATGAGACGATGACTGTCGTATTGATTCCTCCGCGAAAATTGGGGAAGTTGATTTTGAGCAAACAACCATGAATTGATCGTTCAATCTTCAACTACATTGACAGTCGGCGAGAGTCCTAACCACTGTGCCACCGACGCACTTCAACCAATTCAGAAGAGGTCTCTGAAGTATTTGTGAGTGTAAGAGAAAGTTAAAGAAATCTTAGATTTGTGAGTGTATGTAGAGTGAATATTTGTTTCACACATTTGTTTCCTTTGAAATGATCGCAGGTAAATTGTTCTCAGGCTCTTATGCCTCAGACTCACTGGTAGATGTTTTCACACAAAACAAAATAATCATGTGACAGGAAAGAGTATATGAAGACAAAAGCAACCTAAAAGTAACAAATGGAACTCAGCTTAGCCAGTTTAAACTGCCTTCTTTTCCTACACATTGGAGATGTTGCAGCAGGTTGTATATTGTTTTAACTATGCAGTACACAGAATACCTAACCTTGACTCTGGGACAAACTACAACTGCCTCTAAATCGTTTACAAAATTGGTGGTATAGTGTCAATTAGTGTCAGCTTCTATGACTGTTGAACGTTGCAAAACACTATGGTATTTTCAAGAACGCTTTCTCGCGCCAGTAGGAACGTACCATGTTTGATTCAAGTAACGAGGAAATTTTAGTTTGCACACTCAAGCTTATTCATCGTAGATTTTCGTATATTCTGGGCATAGAGACGAGTTGCGATGATACGGGTGCGGCGGTCTTTAGTGCGTCCGGCAAACTTTTGGGAGATTCACTGTCTTCTCAAACAAGCACTAGTGTCATGTAACTAGATTTCACCAAAACCTGATGTACGTACTTCGCAGGTTAGGAGGTGTGCTACCACCCGTAGCAGCTGAACTACACAAAAAGCATATTGAATCAGTTGTTCTCGATGCTGTTAGTAAGTCTAATATTCGGTTACAGGTATTTGACAAATTTGAGCTTTGAATAATATTTCAAAATAGGACTTGAGCCATGTCGGTGTTACTGTAAAACCAGGCATGTCATTGTCTTTGAAAGTTGGAGTAGATTTTGCGAAGACTTTGGCAACACAGCTAAGGTATGGTGTATGTTGTACTTTGAGGAGCAGACTATTTATCGTAGGATTCCTATCATACCAATAGATCACATGGAAGCTCATGCACTAACAGCTCTGCATACTGATCCCAAGTAAGGCTTTCAAAATGTGTGTGGTTTTAAACTCATTTTTGTCTTGGTATATCTGTGGTTTTAAATTTGGAATGTAGTGATTTAACTGTGTTCTTTAGCCTTAGTAATCTCTCCATCTCCTCACGTAAAGCCGTTCAAATTAATGTTAAGATTAGTTTTTAAATGAGTTTTCTAGAGCATTGCTATTGTTAATTTTTTGAGTTTTCAATTGCAGTTGTTAGTGGAAGCATTCTGCGTCGAAACTGTTTGAATTTCACATTTTACTCAAAATGATGAATGTATTTATTCACTTGAATGACAATAGCAAATATTTGGATTGTCCGTGACTTTCCTATATTTCTTTACATATTAGGTTGGAATTCCCCTACGTGATCCTTTTAATTAGCGGTGGTCATGGTCTTTTGGGTATTGTTCAGGGAGTCGAGGACTACATTTTACTAGGTACAGCGTTAGATGCCTCTCCAGGTGATGTTCTTGATAAAGTGAGTTTTATAGCCATTCTTTTATCATGTGTTTATGTGTTTTAACTATGGTCTTACTGAAGCTTACAGTGCTTCTCAATTAATTGTGGACTGTGAGTTGATGATGTCGTTTTATGGTGGATGAATATTTTGCGTGATTTAAAGAACCTGCAGTAATACTGATGTGGGATATGGTGAAATAAGGTTAGTTATCGCTAAATTGGGGCAAAGAGAGCTGAAATAACTCTCAGAAACAAGCTCAGTATACTCTGAACTATTGCTGATAATACCGAAAATAGCAGAAAGTGCGGGATTTGTGCCGGCGATGCTGATAGACATCAAAGTGCCATTTTGTGAGGAATGTCAAGTTATTTGAGAACCAACTCAGAATTTTCCGGCTGTAGAAAACAGACGTTAGTTCAAAATCCCCGAGCTTTACTTTAGCACTGCTATAGGTTTCGGTACATAAAGTGAAGAGAGTTAGTTAATCTGTCTCCTGATACTTCCTTTTCAAGTTACCGTTAAGTGAATTTTCAGATTAATTCATTGCGTTTATTTCATCACATAAAGACTCTTGTTTGTTAACAATTGTAGTCAGGTAACTTAGCAGTCATGCATTAGCCTCTAAGGCTATGATCCGACTTCCTTCTCTTTCTTATGGCATTTTCGACCAAACTTTGTTTGTTCATCGACTACTAAAGTTGTGAAGATCCTGTTCATTGAAACAAGGCTTTCAGACTGATTTCCTATTTATAAGTTCCATTGGGAGTATTAGGAGTTTCCGAGTGAAATCAGACACCAGTATTTTACCATTAGTTATACAATACTGTTATTAATGAATACTCGCTGTGGAATTAAAACGTATCTGTAAGACAACCAGACAATCAATAATTTAATTCTCCTAACTCTGACTTTATTCTCATGAGAACATGCGTATTTACCTTTTAAGGTCATCAAGGTGTTACAAATTCCTCTCGCCTTAGTGAGTCAATTTACATAGACTTTTTGGAGCCTAATACTATTGGATTAAAACATTTGAAATATTTGTGTTTACGGTTTCAGCTCTCCAGGCGTCTTAGATTGAATCGTTTAGGGGATGAAAGATTAAAGAACGTAGCAGGTGGAAAAGCTCTTGAAATGGTTGCAAGAATTTACAATGGCAATCATCGTCGTTTTGACTTGCCTTTACCACGTTCACAATCGAAAGATTGCGATTTCTCGTTCACTGGGATCCATGTGTTTACTGAGCATTTAATAGATAAATTGGAATCGTCAACCAGTGGTATGTAAGTTTGAATAATTGCAATCTTTTGTTTGCTAATGGTTTATAGAGTTGACTTACAATTACTCTCACATGTCCAATGCTTTTTACACATACTAGAGCAACACCAATCAGGTAGTATTGCAGAATTAATTACAGGTGTAGCTGACTACATGATACAGGAACTTGCTACTTTACGTCAAAGAATAATGACAGAAAGTTGATTAATATAAGTTGGTAGGATCCAAAAGCTTGAGTACATAAATTGCTGTCTTAGTATGCAAATGAAATACAAGATGTAGGGAATTTTGATTTTTCCCCGTGAAAGTATAACCTAGGTTGAATGGGCTACTTGTGTTTGAATAATACGAGATAATTGTGGTTTCATTGTATCCTTTACTACTGTAAATCATCATTTTATGTCGCATTTTCCTAGGAAGTGGACATACACTAGCAATGCAAGATATTGCTGATATTTGTGCATCCATTCAGTTTGCAATGGCACGTCTTATTTGTCGACGTGTACAACGCGCCGTTGAATATTGCATATTGCAAGGTGATGGTGATGATAACGTTTCCGATGTTAAAATAACTCGTCCTACTGCTTTAGTGAGTTTATCACATTTATAATAAAACGAACAACAGTTTCATGCTCATTTGTCTTTTCACGTTCCAATGTTGTATATACTGTTATTTGACCAAGTAAACAACTGTTAGACACTACTTTCTCACTCCACACTTTCAAATGAGCCTACGGAATTAGGATCGTTATCTTTCCATTTAAAAAAGAGTTGATCCAGAGTGTTTTGAATACTGTCGAATTTCACGTAGTATAGCTGCACTCAATTAGCATACACCAGTGTTCACCATGGTGAGCCTAATTGACTGAATTAAATCACGATGAAAGTTAAGATGATAAGTGTTACTCTGCTGAAAGTGTTCATTAGGTCATTTGATAGACATGTCGTTTAGATTTAAACTGTTTTAAGCAACAAGAAGTGCAGACAGATGATGAGGAAGAAAAGACGAAGGTGGACGATTAGTAGCAACTTATGTATGCGATTACAGGATTGTGTAAAGTAATCCCTCCTTCCCACATGTCAACACTGTGTGAACTTGCATTCGTATATGAGTGCGGTTTTCATCTTATGCAAAAATGTTGAAATGCTCTTAAATGTATCGGTACTATTCAGTTCAACTGGAAAAGTTGTAATTACAAGTAAAAAATTCTTGGAGACAGGAAATATTTTTGATCTTCAAAGTTTGAAACTATGAATAGTAAATCCTAGTATAATTCTGGACTTAACCATTGTAAACATTCTTATATGCTTACTAGCATAGCATTGTGCTTCGATGCCCAGGTGCCTTTATTTAGCTAAATTCTGAAGATTCTTAACATACTAATGTATGAGTTCACCTCTGAAACCGGGGATAGAGTAGAAATACTGGACAGAATATTCACTTTGAGAATCAAGTGTGTGTCACATTTATCACCCCTTAAACTTTGTACATTAAATGAATGCCTAAGTTTACTTCTTTTGTATAGGTTGTGTCTGGTGGTGTTGGAGCTAATTTAGTTATTCGAGCTGGATTGACAGAAGTGGCTAATCACTACAACATGAGATTTGTGTCTCCTCCACCACATTTATGCACAGACAATGGAGTTATGATAGCCTGGTAAGTACCACAGCTTGAGATTAAACGTAACATCATTGTGAAAAGTAGATTGGAGTAGAGCATATCACACACGTCTACAGATACCTTTCGAGAAGGGAAAGTATGTTTTTAAACGAATCGAACAGTAGTATTTCTCCTTTTCTGTGTATATTGTTGTGTCTTTTTCTAGTGCATCTGTTGTGTCCACTCCATTCCAAGTGTGAATAGTAGACGGAACATAGTAGCTATCCATGTACGTAATCCTATAAATTAGGCTTTCACTATTCCTTCTACTGTTATTCCCATTTAAACGAACGACCAGACATGATAACTTGCTACAGAATTTCTCTAAGCTAACATTTCATTTATATTTTATAGATTTCGTATCGAAACGAATTGTTTTATGATTTAGGAGTGTGAAGAAGTAAAAGTCGATGAGACTGGAAGGAGTGTTTATTAGGACAGGCGCATTGAAGTTACATAAATTTGGTATACCTCATCTTCAATGCTTTATTTGCACGTCATTTGCAAACCGGTCAAATGTAACCACAGCCGATAGCTTTTTGGATTCTGCACAGTGTTTTTAACGTTCATGTGACAGTTCTCTTCTTCGATTACCCTTTTCTACAGCCCAAAACATACTGTAACTTTTCTGAGTTCGTTTACTGATATACTACTTATATCTGATTGTAAGTAGCACTATTTTGGAAACATGAAGACGATAAGTTACCTTCATAATAAGTGGACTAAGAAAGCACTTAGGATTAAAGCGCCGTACAAAACTTCAGGTCATACCAATGCATTTAGAGAATCGAACCGTTACACTATCCATCTGTTTTTTGGTGTCAGAAAGTATTACGAAACCGTATAAATGCGTACATTGATGTATGTTATAAGAATAGTGGATCTATTATTTGTCAACGCATTTTTCTACATAGTGTTGTAATATTTCTTCGGTGTATATATTTTTAATGTGTTGAAATACGACTAAGATGCACGCGGAACTCGTTTGCTGGTGGTCGAAAACCACACACGTGTCGCAGCGATATGTGGCGATCGTAATACTGTGCTGGGTGATACACAGTCAAAACTTTCCGTCATTTTTGAATTAATTTGGTGAATGGTGACTAACAGTGGAATCTAGGATGTGCGTTTCGTCCTGTTTGGGATTCGTCAACTGGATGTGCCCGCATCCCAAGTGAGTGGTGGTGTTCCCACTGAGGCTAGAACCCGGTACCCATATTTTAGAAAGCTAGAGCGTTATCCACTAGATTACTTGGACCAAGAGAGTTACTGCTTGTGCAACGGGTATCAGTTAATACTTAATACGTTATTATTACTTGTTACATTTAGTTGACGAGCACCGAGTCTGCATCCTGGATCCCAATGCTAGTCATCATCCAGCAAATTACCTCGAGTTAAATCCTCAGACATCGTTGGAGCATCCTCACAATGGGGTAGATGTGTCAACAGAGGGCGAACACTTCGGTCCAATCAATTAATGGGGAAGTCCAAATTGAAATAAATTTCTGTTAAATTTTTAATTATCAGACATTAGTCTACCCTAACGAAGTACAGCACAAAAACATGAGTGCCGAGTGGTGGTAATCACTATTTCCCATTTATGTATTTAGTTTTCTAGTATTATGTATTGTATAATATTAAGAATACCTACTTGGGTGCATTTAAATGTATTTTTAAAATTTGCCTTTGACCGTTCACACAGGAATGGATACTTGTTACAGAAAGAAAAGTCTCCTCGCATTACGGAAGATATTTCTTCAGTAGATTTTACACCAAGGTTTGTTTAGTTCTCGCTAAGTACTTTTTTCTGGTAACTGTAGGCATGATTAATATCGTTTCATTTTGAATTTATTTCACACAAAATACCATGCATGTGGATCATCATCTAAGGTTGCTCTTGATTGCAACCAGACCGAGAAAAACAGGATTTATCGAATGAAATAAACTATTTTATTTTATGACTTTTCTTTAGTTGCATACAACTCATATTAAAAAGACACAATCAGTATAAGGTAAAGTAACGTCTTATAATCATTATATGCGACGTAGATAAGAGCAATTGAAGACTGTTAACAAATGGGCATCATTTGTCAGACTTTGCGACTAAGCAGTAAACAGAATGAAGAGATACAGGGTATTAATAAACTAAACGCGTAAATACGTGAAGATGCACTGTGCTATAAACATAGGTGAGTACATTTCTATTTCGGCCAACTATGCACCATATGACTAAGAAAACAAGTTATCAGAAATCGAACTAGTGACCAATGTTGAATGTAGCTTTGGCTATTGTATGCATCGTCGGCCAGCTTGACGAAGCCAGACGAAAAAACCTACTTTTAATTAGCGAAAAATATTATCACGAGAATTGTCATCCACGATTTGACAGATGCGGATGTTCCCAACAGTACAATACTATCATATCGTCAATCTGTCTCAAAACCCTGTACTGTTTTGTTTAAGTTTGTATTCTACTAACATTCGAAATGGGTTCATTTACTAGGTGCACTTCCAGCTTGTCAGTCACGCGAAGACGATTTGGGCGTCATGCATAACTGTGCTTACTCGTTGACTTTCAAAAGAATTTGAATATAAGGTCTCCAGTTAATGTCACGCAAAGAATATTAAATCTTCAGTTGAAAGCATTCCATAAATGTGTCATATAACATCTTTATCCTTGTTAACCTAGAACTCCCGGATTTCGTCGTGTATTTACTTGCAACAGGGAGGCATTTTATAGACTGAAATTATCATTCGTTAACTTTGTTGACTAACCGTAGATAAATATGGTTCTACTGGCCTTTCCGATTGACTTACGAGAATTATCTGACCAGCGTGTTGGTGTATCTGTTTCTTGTAATGACACCTAGATATTGTGCGATTTCATTCCTATAAATACGTATCTCACATAGAGTCAGCAAGAATGAAAATAATTGCAGAGTCGACTGAACTGCTTCACCATTTTTCGTCGACATTTTTTTTATTGTTTTGTTATATATGATGAGAGAAGAAAGTGAGTCTCAGCGTTTATTTTTGTATTTTATAGGTCTACATTTGGCCTTGATTTTCGGGAGTCAGTGAAGCAAGCAAATATATCGATTGAACCAATCAAACTGCCCGATTCTGTTTTCCAGTCATAAACATCTTTTAACTTTAACTTATCTGTAGTATGAACACTTTCGCGAATATTGTGCTGTCGATGTAGCCGGTACAGTGTTTATCTTGACTTATTTTATTATGAGTTTATTATAACCTACCTCAGTGAAGAAAAATGATGAAAATATTGTGGTACGCTTTTACATAAAATATACGCATTGCGTCACTTCTATATTCCTCTTTTATACAATGTCAAAGTATTATATTCCTCTATTTCAGGGGAGCAGTTATGGTCATAGATTCACACTGAAGGAACGATCCTGGGTAGTTTACTTTCGATCCTCCATTACTTTGTCAATGTTCGAAATTGAAGCCATGTCATAGGCTAGATCGAAATTCAGGTTTAATAAGTGCTCTTACTGAAACTAAAGTGCAAATACGCGAACTGCTCCACAGTAATGCGAAATTCTTATGCAGATAGTGTGTGTCTGATGACAGAGCTTCTAACCAAAAAATCAGCAGTTGAGCAACCACTTTATGGCTTTTTTTGTGATTGTCAAGTGAGAATGTGTTTTTCTATTATCGTGACTCAGGAATTTATTCTTACGAATGCCCTACCGCTCTTTTAACGATATTGAACCAAATTGGTTCGATGTCAAAACAACCAGTAGTCATTCTATTCGCCTGCTTACAGTCAGTCACTTTTCAGTTGCTTATTACGATTGTCCCAGCTGGATAAAATGAGTATGTCAGGAACTCAATTTCCACCTAAGGTGTTTCGCAAAGTTTAGAAGAATCTTGACGAAAATTGTTTTTCGGGTGCTATCTGGCGTAGAGATGACAAAAATAATTTAGATTAGGCACAGTCACCAGCTTGAAGTGGTACACACCATCAGATGAGGATTTAAGCACGTAAACTATTGTGACATATATCAGATTTGTCGGTCGTTTTACAATGTGATATCTATCTAAGTAAAATGAGACTGTTATATATTACGATAAGGAAATAACTAAGAGCAGTGAGTTATAATGATAGTGACACCTCTGAGAGAGAGAGAGAGCTACAGTTTGTCTAAATCTTGTAGATGTTCTCGCCGAAGGAGTGAAAATGACAGCAACCTATGGTTGGATTTGTTGTATATGCCAGTTTTAATTTCGGACATTTTAACAGTCTTCATTAAATCAATCACAATTTATTTCTCCACTCTGAATATCTACACCCACTTAGAGACAACAAGTTACGAAGAAGTGAAAGTCTGGTAGTTATAGCAACTGTACCACAATGAGCAGTTCAATTTTTATCAGTAGTATAGCAATAATACACAAGAAGACGAAAGCAGCAATCGAAACACTTTTTAGCTGGTCTGCTAAACCCTGTGTTTGTGTTTGACTATTTGAATCTGTCTGTAGTTATGATACTCTGCGTATAAGGACATACACCAGAAATTGATTATGTCTCTAAGAAACTGTAAAAGTTACGTAACTTACGAATATCACCAATCAATAAACATCAAAACTTGGAATAATTAAGAACATTCGTGCAATTTTGTCTGTAATGATAAGTAAATATTAACAAAAAGCTTGAAAAGAAAGTTATTAAGATGGTTTGCATTCCGGAGCTCCAGTATTGGAAGGCCGTTTCTGATGCGACACTGGATTCCTTTGACATCTTTGGTTCGTAAGTGGTGCGTCTTTATTTTGGGTAGGTTGCTGTGGATGAACTGGCTCTGGTGTGACGAATGCATTTGTAGTGGGATTCTAGTATGGAATGTAATTCAGGTAAGAACGTGTAGGGCTGAGTATTCACATTACTATAAGCATATTGTATAGCACCAGTAGTGAATCAAATAAACGCACTTGAACAATGTCATGACGACTTCTGTTCAACGCACTACAACAGAAGCTTTGGCTCACCGCATTTGCTATCGGTAAAGATAAAATTAACTAATTCCTTAACCAAGGCATAGAATATTCTAAGTAGCATATCAGACAGCTTAAATAATGAAACAAAACAGAGAGAGGATTGATTGCTGTCATATTAAACATCCCTTAAAATCGATTAGAAAGTTCAAAAAAGTTACAATAAAAGAAGTAGTGGTGAAACTACTGGTAAGAAATTTTTAATTATTATTGTTCCGCTTGGGTTCCAAGTGGAACATAGGGCTTCAATAACACACCTCCACTTTGTTATGATTCCTGCTGTCCTCTTTAGGTAGGCCCACGATTGCCCATAATCTCTCATCTCCTTCCCACACGATCTCCTCCATGTAACCATTGGACGACCTACTCGTCGTTTCTCATTCAGACTCCACTAGAGAGCCTGGCGCGCGATATCATTCGACGGCCTCCTTAGCCTGTGTCCAATCCATCTCTGTTTACCCACGCATACTTGTTGGACGATAGGTTCTAAGTTTGTTGCCAGGCTTTCTTGTTGCTAATTCTTTCTGGCCGGCCATTTGATCCTCAGTATGGAACTAAAACAACCATTGATAGAAATCTGTAACCTGTTGAAAATCCTTTTTGTGACACACTGGCCAAGCTCCTGACCCATATAGAAAAACTGACTGATTTCACACTTGTGATAAAAATCTAAATCTTGACGTTTATGCTGCGAGTTAAGAAGATTTCCAAATTGATTTCAGGTTGATGAAGGGGTATCTCAGCATTCCGATCCTGACTCTGACATCTTCATCCGTGCCTGTAGTTGAAACGATGCTGCCTAGATAAGTGAAGGAAATAACCTCTGTCAAAATTCTCCCGTTGATGGTGATTGGTGCAGGGTATTATTGTGGTTGGTGAGGTTCGTTGGCTATCTTCATCACCTCCGTCTTCTCGATGTTCACCTGGATTCCTGTCTTTGCTGCTTCTTCCTCCACTTTGTTGGTTTTCTCCTACAAGTCTTCGAGTCTGTGTGACACTAGACATATATCATCTGTGAAATCCAGATCTTGTGGAGTCTTCTCATTCCCTGAGCGCAGCCTTATGCATAATTCAGTCCACCATGATCAAAATTATCATCAATGATAACAGGCTTTTTGTCTTACTCCTGTATTCATTTAGAATGCCTCTTTGCTTTTTCTGTTGTGGGTCACCTGATACCTGGTATTGTCATATAGCTAGTTGTTGAATGAGGCTGATAAGGACTTGAGCACTGCACGCCGTAGTGTTGAAGCAGTCAACCCTATCGAAATCAATGAAGTTGAGGGAGGAATTTGACTGCTATTCTGTGCTGTGTTTGATGGTGATGCGTAGAGTTGCAATTTGATCACCACATGATTTGTCTTTCCTGACTCCAGCTTGTTCCGGTGGGACTGGTGGAGTTCTGTATCCAATTCATCTTTTATTCTCTGCAGAATGATGCGACTTAGTATTTTATTTGGTGTGGACAAGGGCATTATTCCACGCTAGTTTTGAAGAGGCAGACATGAGTCGCCCTTCTTTGGTAGCTTAACAAGGTAGCCAGCCCTTCTTCCAATCAGTGGGCACTTTTTTCCTTCCAAACATTTTACAATAATGGTGCGTTTTCAGTGCCTCGAAGAAATTAACAGCATTTTCAAGAACGTTTTATACACAGAATTGTATATTAGTAAGATATTTAATAAGCTTTACTTAGAGTTCGCTGATATTATGACACAAACTGTTGACAAGATCTATCGACTGTACAAGCCTTCCATTTATATA